CTTTCACTCAGAATAGAACATCCTTTCTACATCATTATAAACCAAACCAAATGTTTCAAGGAAACACTACCTGATCTGTTACTCTTTTCAGGTGTGAAGTGCAAGTCTAGTCTGCTGATTAGTGTAAGACACAGGGTTGAGGATGAACTGTGTGATTGTAAATCACACCTCTAGGGACCCCGTTTTCATTGTGCAATTGAAGTAACTGCCAGGGCTAAAGTCATTTTAAGTTTCTTGGATGATTATTTTCCCAGAAAAGAAGAGTTTTTGGGAAAGACAGTTTAAACTTGGAGGGGAGAAAACACTTAGTGGAGAAAAATTTGGAAGACACTTGTTAGATTCTGACAGGTTTAGGAAATTCAATGAGCCTTTGTGTTATTAAGTACTGTGTTGAACACCCCAGGGGGAAGGTTTGCTTAATAATAAGGAAATACTGTAAATAAACTTAAGAAAATGAAAGGGGAACCGAGAAAAAAAAAGCAGAAAAGTAGTTTAGGGAAGTAATTGGAAGAGTTTGAAGGGGAGATTTTCTCCCAAGATATAAATGCTTAGATATAAAAAAAAATAAAGAGAATGTGTGGATCGTACTTGCTAAGGAAGAAAGGAGATGATCAAGGGGGGCAAATTCAGGGACAAACTATCCTGAAAATAAGTCCTCAAGAACAAACTGACAAACACACTTCAGATTAATGGAACTGGAGACCTGATAACAAAATGAATTGGATGAATCAAAATATTTGTGGTAGTTCTTCTACCAAAGAAGGAGCTCTTGGAATACAGAGCCATTCTAAAAATACATATCTGGAAGAGAACATGTGGTTCCTCTTGGCTTAATTTCTGCTAATAAACTTAAATGATTCAGTTGGTACATATGTGTAGAAAAGTTCTGAGAAGTGAAATTATTGTGAGAAAAATATAATCTCTCCTATAAGAAGGAGCCAAAACTTCTAAGCTATATATGCAAGGAAAATAAAATAAGGAAAAATTTCCAAACTGTCTACCTACATTTGCAATCAATTTCCAGACAACATATTAGCAGTAAGTTTTAGTTTAACAAATTTTTGTGAGCACCTACTATCATCCTAATTAGAGCAGCAACAATAGTACACAAACTATTCATGAAAATAAAGTCCTAAAACTCACAGGGATATTTCCAGAAATATGCCCCATTTCACATCACTATGTTATAACACAGATTCTTTAATAAGCTTTAAATATCCAGAATGTGCTTGTCTTCTCTTTGTGTGTCCACATTTGTGCTCCCATGTTAATATTTTTTTCTCTTTCAACATTTCATTTAGTAACCCTGAAACAGTTTGTTTATGTAATTTTGCATGGAACAAATAATAGTGCACTAAAGATCAGGATGTGAACCATGGACTATTTCTCCTCTGCAGTGCCTCTCTGCTATGCTCTCCTGCCTTGGAGCCAGCTGGCCATGGACTGAAACCTCCACAAACTGTGAACTGAAATTAACATTTTCTGCTTTAACTTTGAGTGTTGGGTATCTTATCTCAGTAATGACAAAGTATCTAAGACACTATTATACAAGCATGAAACATTATACTTGTTAAGGAGTTAATGAAAAATTAATAGTACAATTTATTGATTGCTGGGACCAAACATTCCTTTTTATAATGACACTAGTCATACTGGATTAGGGTTCACCCTAACAATCTCATCTTAAATTGATCATTTCTGTAATGAACTTCATTAGAAACCAAGGTCACATTTAAAGGTAATAGAAGTTAGGACTTCAACATCTTTTTTAAGGACCATTGACCATATATAATGATTACATTTGTTGTGAGGAGCTTGTTCATGTACATAACACATCTTTATTTTCATTCCCTTCCCCTCCTATCCCTCCCTGTTTCCTCTAACTCATTGTCAGGCCCATTTGCAAAAGCTCTATTTCCATTTTTCCTTAAATTTTCTCTCTTTTTTCAGTATCTTTTTGAAGGTACACAGTTCAGTCTCCATTTTAAAGATGAGGAGACTGAGTCACAGGGGTGAAGTAAACTGCCTACTGTCACTGGGAAAGGAAGCGATGGTAGTGGAGAGTGTTGCCCCAACCACTGTGACACAGTGAGTTGGTGAGTTCCTTTACCAGTGGAATCCCAAACTCAAGAAGACTGGGTCAGAACACCACAGAATGAGGACATGAACATGATGGAGAAGTTTGCCTTCTCCCTTTCTGAAGTAACTGTGAGCATGGAATAGACCTTATAAGAGACTTTTAAGTTGTGACTGGCATTAGCAGTATCTGAAGATACCTGTTTGAGGAGATATTCTAGTTGGCTATGGAAAAGAATATCATACTTCCTTTTACTGAATAATCTGATCTTTAAGTTGAAATTTCAGAGGAAGATAAAAATGAAAGAAAGTTATTTTTCATGCCCTCATTTAAAAAAATTAAATATGATGTAAAATAGTAAAATAGACACATGATGCACAATGATAAAATACATATACCTATACCATACCATGGACATATACCATGGATGAAAGGACTTTCACATTGTTTTGCTTCCTAACTTGTGCTGGACATACCTGATTACAGGGTCTGAACAATTGTCTGTTTAGATTATCTTACAGAACTGATGAGGTGAAGTAGTGCATAAACCAGATTTTATATTTTTAGAGTTGGCCCCTTTATCAGAGGTTGTTCCTTTGACGCCTAAGGAACTTTCCATCCATAACCGGATAAAACTGTTTCAAGGATTATTTTTCCCTCTAGAATTGATATGAAAGGGGCAAGATTTGGAAATCTAGAGGGAAGCTTAAAGTCAGGAGAAGACAAGGTCCAGGGGTGCAACCTGTGTGTAAAGCTCTGGGACAAACTTGATGTTTGCAACTTTCTGCCCGGCCTTTCTCTCTCTGCTGTCCAAACTTGACTCAGAGGCAGGGACTCATACATCAGCCTCACAGGATCTTCCTTACTTCTGAGGACAGCTTGCTGAAGCCTCTTGGGAAGTGGATTCAGTGTGAATGGTTGAGGTAGGCAGTGAAATAAGTTCTTCCGACTGTCTCTATCCTGTTCTGTGTTCCTGTAGGAACAGCAGAACTCCAGAAAGCTATAATTGAGTGCTATAGTTCGAGTTTATGTAGAAAGTTCCTGGAAAGAAAGCTGAACTAATTAACCTATCATTGCTTCTGAGTTTGATTCTATAGCTCTTTTTTAAAGTAAAGATCCTGAGGCCACAAAAAACAGTAATTTTGAAAATAACATACCAATAGTTACTGCAGAGCAAGTGCTGTGTGATTCATGATACAAACAGTGGCACATTCTCTGTGAAACCCAGAAGCCTTTGTGTTAGTAGTAAGAATAAACTTGCAGTCCTTCTATTTCGTTTTTAGATTTGCTTTTTACTCAATTCTAGGACCTTTCAAGTCTTTGGTAAAGGGCTCACATACTGACTGATAAATGTACTACACACAGCATGCCCACCTGTCTTCCCCTGGCATGCTTAGTGCTAGCCAGATGAAAAACGGGTCACTAACTAACCTTAACAAGACCCATTATTCATGCATATCATTGCCTGCTGCACTTCAATGTGCTGATGTGGGAAACAGCTTTCTAGTCAATTAATTTGGCTTTGTCGCTTAGGAACAAGAAGATAAAAAATATTTAATTAAAAGTTCAGATTTGTTTTGGATACCAAGCCAAGAACTGTGGTATGTCAGATTTTACAAGTGCTACTTCAATCACAGAGACACACTGTGTGGAATTTGCAGTGCTTTGTATTGCAGAGTAAGCTGTAATTACACTAGCTAATTCCCCCCTTTTTTTCTGTTTCCTCCTTCAGAACTCATTGGAGTACACAGTTAACAGCATGGGGCTCTGAATTGATGCATGCCTAATCACAGTGTGCAGATACAGTTTCTCTGTCTGCCTTAATTCCCTGTGTTATAATTTATGTACATATGCAGAGAATACACGGCTGTGTGTGGAAGTTTCAGGAAGAATATGCACTGAAATAAACAACCTGATTGCCAGCTTCCATGCCCCAGGCTGGGGACTGCTTTATGCACAATACTCACCCTACAGCTCTGCATATTCTGCTCCTCTCAGTCTCTAAGTGTTGCCCCCTGATTTGTCTTCTTGGCCTGGCTGCCTCTACTCTAACATAAGGATATATCTGCAAGAGGAGAAATGTCCCTGCAAAATTCTCAAAGAACTTTGAACTACAACCAAGAGGTCAAATAAGAGAAAGTGCACTTTGTTGATTTCTGATCTTTATTTTCTAAGTATGTGTGAGGATACGGTAACTGGAAATGGTTTACATCAACGCATTTTCATTTGAATTTTACAACATGTTCTGAATAGTGCTCTACCAATTCTCTAAGCAGCTTTTAACACAGGTAGGAAAATGAACATGTTTTCTATGCTCCATAAACAATATGGATACACTTAATAAACCCAATTTTATTGAAATGATGATGATGAGTCCTCAGCCTTAGGAAAGTCAGGAAATGAATTCACACTGAAGCAAATAGTATACAAATGCAAGGAAGTCAATGTCAATGTATTGCCTCTATCTGATGTCTCTAACACATTAAATATACATGGAATAACTTATGGTTTCATAGAAAATGCCTTCCATATTTAAAATTTTTTTTTTATTTTTAATGGACAAAAGCACTACATCTGTCAGTTTAAACTGTACCTGAACTATAAAAGGAAATATGAAAGTCACTCTCTCGTTCCTTAGAAGTAATAACTATTAAGTTTGTGTATACTTGCAAACATGTTTTGCATATATACACTTATGACATATATTTTCAACTTCGTCACATAGTAATACAAGTTGCGATGTCAAACATAAAATATATACATCTAATTCAAGCTCTTTAATTGGTGTGTACTTTTTTCATGCTTAAATGATTTTTAATTTGTCTCTCATTGATGATCATTTTTATGGCTTCAATTTTTTAAAATTCCAAACAGTGCTACAATAAATATTCTTGTAATAAATAAAATAAATCTCTATTTTTGCAGCATGGTTTGCACTAAAAAAATTATTAGACCTCCTTTTGGATAAGGTAAGTCTGTCTTTAAACTTCTAAGGGAAGAATTGCTTTTTAAAAGATAATTTCATATATTACTTATTGTTGCATCACCACTTTAGTTAATCTTTTATGATTCTCAGGCAGACACATTGGCTTAGTGGCTCTTCTAGAATGGCTGGATTGAGTCATAATTCTGCAGTAGAGCTGCAGGTATTCCTGGCATGGCAGAGATCAGCTGTGAAAGTGGCCTAGACCAGCAGGTCAGAAAGGCTCAGCATTTTCCCTGGAAGCTCAGCCTGCACATGTTCTCAGGATGAGACAGAGGTCAATGAAAGGGAGTTGAAACATGAAAATAGTTCTTCAAGTAGCTTTTGTCATTTGCTTCTGTTTCTATTGGCCAAATCCAGCTTCATGACCTATTTCAGAGTATATGTAGGACACTGTAATAGCATAGGTGTAAAGAATCAATATCATTTTTGCAGTTAATTTCCATATACTTTGTTAAATTGATGAATACTGCCAAATTACCTTCCTTTCCACCAGGATTTAACTAATAGTCACAGTTACAATGGTATATAAGAGGATTCTAGAAACAAAATTCACTCTCTCTGTGTGAAAAGTTAGGAACAGCACAGTTTTACTTCTGTGACCTTTATTCCTTTGCTCTGATTTTGCTATTATGTTCTAGGACTACTGACCAAGCTTTTATACTTACTGTTTTTCCCATTATATACTTTTTCTTAAAGATCTATAACATTTTCACAACTTTAATTAAGCAAATTTAGTAGTCCTTCTTTGCCTTGGGCATAATTAGAAAGCAATTAATGTTTCCTCTCCTGCACTTTTCATAAAGCAACCTCCACATTCCTCAGCTCAATATATTGAACTACATCTTGGATTTTTGTTGCCAAATAAGTAGTCAAAACACATTCATGGGTGCTGTGCTTCCTAAGACCATTCATATCTCCTAATTCCTTTGTATGGTTTTTGTATATGAGTGGGCTACAAATAAAATTATTGTAGGTCAAATTTGTTTTGTTTTACTCGTTATCTTCTGGAATTGAATGTTTCTATGGAGAACTTTGACATAGTTAGTCCTGTTCCCCATTCATTCATTTAACAGTATTTGTTTAGCTTCTTCTATGTGGTAGGCACTATTCCAAGTACACGCAACACTGCAGTAAATAACATACAAATACTCTTGCTCTCCTGGAGTGTAAATTCCAGTGTGAGGACATCAACTAATAAACAGAAAAAAGTAAATAATTATCCATACAGTGTATATAAATCAATAAATACAAGAAAAACAGGAGATCTAGAGTGAGAGTTAATATTAATTGGAATAAGAAACTCCTAAAGTGACATCTGAAGGAGATGAGTGAGCAACCTTTGCCAATATTAGGGAGAGAAGCATTTCAGGGAGGGAGAGCATCAAATACGAAGGCCCTCAGGTAAGAAAGAGCAAGCTGGTCATATGTGAGGAACACAGAGGCTAGCCAAGATGAAGCAAAGTGAAGGAAATGAAATGAACAATAGGCTAAGTTCAGGGTGAGATCAAGGCCTTGTGGCTCACATTAAGATCTTTCTACCTTATACTGAGATGATTTTAGTGGAAAAGTTGTAAGTCTGACATAAATATTTTGCTTACTTATAGGTGAGTTTTTGTTTTTGTTTCATGGATACTCAGTGAAAAATCTTTAGTTTCTTCATTTGAAAAGTGTGTGGACTTTCTCAGTATAGGTGCATTAGTCATGTGACTGTATTCATATTCTTTTGATTCACAAATTTGGATTTTCTTCATTTTGGGGAAGTTTTATTCTGTGATATCTGTTCTTATTTCTTATGCTTTATTTATAGTATTTCATATTTCAGGGGTGCCATTCACCTGTTTGTTGGATTGTAAATGTTTGTCTTCTTGCTATCACTTTTAAGTACTTTCCAATCTCTGCTTCCTGCGTATTTGGTATGATTTTCTCAAAACTGCCCTCATAGCAGTTATTTTTCTTTAAATTTCATCCCTTCTTGTCTCAGATTTATATATACTTTTTAGCTATCTGTGGCTTTCCACTTTTTTCCTTGTGCTGTTTCTAAATTGTTATTTTATTATTTCTTCTATGGCCTCTTACAAGGATAATTTCCCTTGTTTTTGGTCAGAGTGTAATGTCTAAAATTTTCTGCAATTTCTTGGAGTGTGCTTTATTCTAGAATACATTTTTTCCTTTTCTTTAGTATTCTATATTCTTTTAATTTTTTTCCTGCTCTATTATTTTTGCATTATTAATGAGCCATTTATTTTCAAGTTTTTTTTATTTTTTTTTTTATTTTTGAAAGGGGACCATTGCTCATCACTCCCTGAAGTCTGGTGGATTCTATTTTGCTGTCTTTTGATTTTATATGGAACTTCTTTTACACCATGAAAATGTGAGGCTGAAGCAAGCTGTCTTCTGTTCCTGAAGATATGAGGAGTGTTACTGAGACGAGACTTACTGTGAGGGACTTCAGTTCTGATTTTTGTTTCTTTTCCCATTGTGTTATTATTAAGAGTCATCCTTGGGAAGTTTTCTACTCTGGGAGACTCCTGTGCATTTCAGGTTGTTTCTCTACTTCAGGAGAAGTTGAGTGTTTGGAAGTACTTCTGACTCCTAGGACCTACCTTTTAATTCAAAAGAATATCTCACATTTAATATTCTTGCAATCACATATTGCTGGCCTGAGTTTATTCCAAGCTGAGGATATTAGTGAAGGATTTCTAAGTTTAGTTTTCACTTTTTTCTCTGTATTGCTATCTTTCTTCCAGGAACTTTGGAGGAGAAGTTGTACTCATGTTCTGGAAGCTCATTTTCTGTACTAATTGCTCTTTTCTGGATGAAACTTTTGAAGGATTATTTAAGTTTCTTTTACTTGCTTTAAGACTGATAATATATTTGTTGTTTATTTTCTCCTTATAGTGATTACAAATGTATGTGTTATCTTTTGTCATAAATTCCTGTCCATTCTAATCCAATATGCCCTCATTTTTACTTAACTAATTATATCTACAAAGACTCTTTTTCCAGATAAGGTCATTATGAGATTCTTTGTGGGTATGGAAATTTTTGGGATACTGTTTCATACAGTACAGTACAGATTATGTAGCAATTAGTGTATAGAGAATGAAACCCTCAGGATTATCATGTGACTTTGGGTCTTTAAGTGGTGTGTTAGAAAAGGAAAATTATCAGTGTTCATCCTATATGCAGAACCAGCTACTTAATGGGATCCTAAATTTTGATTCTGGGGCATTATATGGGGGATTACTGAGAGTCATGTGACTGAAAGATACAACTAATGGTCAGTGGCAAACGAAGGAAAAGTCAACAGAAAAGTCTATAGGAGGGATAAAACCTTCTGTCTCAGTACTACATTTGTTTCCTAAAGTATAAAGCTGAAAGGTTGAATCTTGACCTGGATACAGATCTAGAGTGAATGTCGTACAGGAAAGATGAACTGGCTGGATATTGGATTGCATAATGCCTTGTAAGTACCTCTGCTCAAAGCAGCTTCTCTCCTTCCATGGCCCCAGTTCAAGAACCATATTTAAATTCCTTCTTTCAAAGGAAGCCGGTGCTTAACTCCCATATGGAGCTGAAATGGGAGAAGGGAAGCAATGAAGTGAGAGAGAAATTGCAATGGTGAGGGGAAGGAGCCACAGCACTCAACATTCACTCTCCAGAAAAGCGGGTGTCTGTGATTGGTACCTCAGTCATCATCTCTCATCCTGACCTTCTCTAAGCACCAAGGGTACCATGGAAAATGAGATTGAGTCTTCTGACTCTTTGCACCTAAAGCTCTTTTCAAAGCTCTGGAGATCCTAAGAAAACTCTGCTTCACAAGAAAAAAAGAATTTAAATTTTTACTCAGCTATTTCATTTACATAAGGTTTTATATTTGAAAGACAAAGTATGTATTGTAGGCTAGTTAATAGTGAGGACTTTGTAATCACTTAGATCTCAGAAGCCTTCCAATTTTGGCATTAGAAAATGTAATCATTATGTACTATAGATGCGTACTAATAAAAATAAAAACTAAAAAATCCAAATCACACATGCACAAAGAAACTACTTTCTATCTTTGAACTGCCTTTTTTTATTTGCCTTAGACTTGACCATAAAGATGCTTTATAAAACTAATAAAGCACAAAATTACACTGATATACCAAATGGGCTATTACTGCAAAATTGAGGCAGAGAAGCCTGTTTCTCTGCCAAGCTTGAGGTATAGGAACTGCTTCCTTCTATGCATTATAAGTAGAGAGAAACATGACACTCAATCAAGCACTTTTGATTATCAAGGAAGTGGTGTTTTTTTTATCAAGTGGAAGAGGACGGTGACCTCTGCTCTCTGACTGACTTGCTGCAGTTGGATACCAGTGATCTTGAATAAATGGTTTGGCAGCAATAGAGACTGTTGTCTTATGTAGATGGCAACTTCGTTTAATGGGAAAATTTGCTACTTACCAATTCACTTTTTTGGCAAATGTTACCATTGTTGCTTTTTACATTATTAAGTGATTTTTCCTTCTGTATGTTCTCCCTCACTTACTGCTTAAGTGAACATTTACAAGGTGCAGAGTACCAATTTGGCTTAAACTAGTGCAACTCCAAACTATGCAGCTTGAGTGTTACTCTTCCAGATTTTGAACATCTAATGGTTTAGAAGCATGCTAAAATGTATGGTCCCTTATAGATAAGACTTTCTTAATTGATTAGCTGCACAGTCCAAACAGAGGTGTGTTTGTTATTATTACGTAATTATAAGATTTCTTTGGAGGCATGGACAGTAGAAGAAAGAAGAGCTCCAACTTATCCCTGAGGGTCACCTCATAAATGACATCATAAATGAACTGGAGCCTAGGTAGAGAGGTAAGCAGGGAACATCCCAGAAATGTACCATTACTACAAAGGTATTACAGTATGCAGTCTGTGCTGAGGAAAAGAGATCCAGGTTCTGACTGCATTTTTATTTGTTTATTTCTTCAAGCATTGATATAGCATCAGATGCTTAGGCAATAAATGTTAGAGGATACTGGAAAGTTATAAAACATTCAAATTCTTGTTTAATAATAATAAACTTCAGAAAGCATTGCATACTTTTCTATAGTGTTCATTTGGCTTTTGGAATAATACTGAGTATGACACTCAATATTTATTCAGTGACTGGATTTCTGAGTATTACACTGTAAAAACTTATGACTGCTTCATTGCATAGTCATTAGGGCTGAATACTCATTGAGAAAAAGAGGAAAAATAAGAGTGAAAATATTTTGAGTTAAAGCAAGGACTTTCAGGTAACTTTATGGATACTAATTGCTACAATTTTTGTTACCCTATTGGTCATCAGGATTATTGATTTTCCTGAATGGTGTCTTTCTTTTTTCCAGGGACCTAATCATCCTTTGGATGTTGAGATGAAAAATGTGTTCTTGCCAGGTGAGAACTCCATTCCTGTGTCCAGGTCCCTATCTCTTTGAGTCATTTACAGGTTCTAAAGACTATAAGGATGTGGGAAGGGAAAATGCAGGATCACAGTAACAGGGAATTTGTGGTATTGGTTTGTCCAACTTTGTAACAGATTCAGTGTGCTAATTCCTCATTACATTGCTTTAGTTTTCCTCTTTTAAATATCTAAAATTTTCAGTTTACTGAGTGATCCGGACTACATTATAATACCTACCCTTTATTGGATATTTTGAACAAATGCTTGAATATCAATCCACATTGATATTACATTGCAAACAAATGCAAACCTAGGGTTTACATGATTGTTGGAAGAACTGTGAATGAGTAAGTTCAAGTCAGATGTAGTCCTGCTTAGCTGCAGAAAGAACAAACTTCATGTTACTAAATCAATGGAAAGTCAGTTGTGATTATAATCTTGTTTAGTCTTTGTCTTTCCTCCTGAAATTTCAAAATGCACTAACATTTTAGCTAATGCACTATAGAGTACACTTGAATAATTCAATGTGTTTTATATGGTCTAAAATCTAAAAGGAGATGGTGGAACCATGTGGTGAGATGATTGGCTGTCTGTGAGTGAGAGAAACATGCTGATGATGCTTTCACAGCAGAAAGGGGATGAAAATTCACACACTTCACATAGAGTAGTGGATTTAGTACTTAGGACAAATCTTTTAAGTGTTAAATTCACATCAGTATGAGGTGGAAATAAATGAAGGAATAGTTTTTATAGATTAAAAAGATTTCACATTGATAATTTAAAATGTTTTAATATAATTTATGTTTTGAAGAATAAACTCAAAGATGGAGAGAGAGAGAGAGAGAGAGAGAGAGAGAGAGAGAGAGAGAGAGAGATTTCCAAATAATAAAGCTTCAAACGCAAGTTTTGTGACTCTTACATTCCTTTTTACACATTGTACTTGCCTGTCTTCCCAAGTGATGATGTTGTTACCTCACCATTGGTGCTGGAGAAGTCACTGAATGTGTCTGTGCAGTGACTCACTTCCCCCAATGATCTATTAATACCTGCTCACCTATAACTTGAAAAGTTGTAATTAAGATCACATAAACTTCTATGTAAAACTTTTTGGGGGAACATATCTTTGAAATGTATTCACATGTTCTATTTTTCAGTCTAGGAAAGTAGCCAAAAAGTATTGCATCTACCAAGATGGAAAATTTGCAACTATCGTTGATAGAAAATATAACTTTATAGTTTCTCCTTTAAAGCCTCTTAAATTTTTTTATAATTGATAACATTTATCTTTTACTGCTTAGAAGTATTTTGTCTTTAGTAGCTGAAAAAGATTAAAACTGTGTAAACATTGCTCACTGGGTTCTTAAAAGTAGTTAAGTGTGTTTACTAAGAAAAGAACACAATGGAATGTTCATGAAAATTTACTGATAAATTTGTGGAATCTGCAATACATAATAAACACCCAACAAGGCAGCTGCTGGGGGCGGTTTTTCCACGTGGGATGGCCTGACCTCGCCCAGGATGGCAACAGCCTTTACAACCTTTCTTAGGGACCAGGGCACCGCCATCTTACTCAGGACGGAAGCCGTGCAGGGACCTGTGGCGTCAGAGTGCACATGCAGCCGGAAACGGAAGTGAGAAGACTTGGTCACAGTGCTAGTCTTATGGCACTAGAGACGGCCTCAGGGCCAGGTTGTTTGGCGATTGAGGGCACTGAGAACTCTTGGACACCCTACTGCAGACTCTGTTACGTGAGAGAGAAAGAAGGTGAAACAAAACAGAAGAAAATCAGAAAGAAAAGAGAAAATAGGAAGACGGATGGGGTTGCGGTAGCTGGTGCAGCAGAGAGAACCATGCCTGCGTCTTTCGCGAGAAACCAGAAGCAGGGAACTCAGAAAAGAGTTTAACTGTGCTCCTGTGATCACTTCACACAGTCCGCCTTCCAGGATCACCCTCTCCCCTGAAAAACCACAGGGAGCAAGTGGAAGTGGTGGAGTTTCACAGTAGAAATAAAAAAAGAAAACTGAAGCCAGATCAAGATGGGTGCATAAAGACTAAAACTAGTGTCCCTGAGAAAGATGTAGGTATTCAAGAATTTAACCTGGAAAAGGTTCGGTTAGAAGTGCACTGGTTTGACATCATGGACTATGGGAAAGGCAAGGAAAGAGCCCTGGAATGGAATTTCACCATTGTGATGGGTGCCAAGCATCCCAAAAATAGTTACATGAACTAAGAGGTTTTGCAGGGCCAAATCAAAGAGGGAAAAAAAGGCAGCAAAGGAAGAAGAGAAGAGAGTGGCCCAGTATGCACATATTTTCAAGAAGAAGAAGAAAGGGGGGGGGGGAGGGAGGAGGAGGAGAAAGAGGGGGAGCAGGAAGATAGGAATTCCAAAAAGAGGAGGACAGCTACCAATATTTTGTCAAGTAGATGGATTGGACAGGTTGGAAAATTCAAAGATGGGACACTGATTCTGAGCCCATTTGATATCAAGAAAATAAATTCTTCCGGAATGGCTAAATGAAGTACTTCGTCACATTAAGGAGAACAAGTGACTATATGACACTGAACCTGGCCAGACATCCAGATGCTCATGTGCCACATGCTGCCTCTTCACTTGAGGAAGACCAGACTGAGCTTTTTTAGGTTCCACCGTATCTATGTGGAGCTGCACCAGGGGCCGAGTGAGCAGGCCCCACTTCCATTCCTGTGCACTGGTGATGGGCAAGTTTGCTTGCAACACCTTTTTTTTCCTCCATCTTTTACTATCTTATAAATGCTGGTAATTAACATTAATTTGCCTTTTAATATTTTTGATAACAATGTTATTGGATCATGAAAGAGCTAAGAATATGATTTGTTAGTTTCTTGGAAAAGGAGTTTTAATTTTTAGCCTATTTGTACAAAATGTACTTTTCCAAATTTGTATAAATAAACACAGCTTTTATAGTTGAAAAAATGCTCAGCAAGCATTAAATAAATGACAGAAAGTCAGTTAATGTTCTTTCTTATATACAGGAGCTGACGAAAACATTGACCTGGAAGTAGAAGAGTGTTTACTGGACACTGGGAAGACAAGGGCGGCTGGATTTGATAAATGTGTGCTATGTGCATGTATTGCACAGAAATCCATTAATGCATATAATTGATGTGTATTAATAAGAAAAGATACACAAAATAAAAGACAGAATATATGATTTTTAAAAAGCACCCTAATTGTACTGTAAACTCAAGAGAAATGCTAATAATACAATGTTTTTTCAACCTTCTGATCTTCTGAACATTATCTTACTAAGCAAAAAATATAAAAATAACTAGGAGTTATTAAATAAGCAAATTCAATTTACTTAACTGCATGTACAGGGTCTCTAGAGTGTCTCTACGCAGAGCCATGCCAGGCACCTAATGAGACGTGTTCTTGCCTAACCCAGCTCACGGTGTCCTTTGGTACTAAAGAGTCTGCCTGGTGAATTGATTTCATGGAAATTTGTTTGAGTGGAGCTCAAATGGAACGAAAGGACAAGTATCCTCTGGGTCAGTTGAATAACATCCACAGGAAATAGGTTGGAAGCTTTGGGGGTGTGTGCTCAGTGTTACCTGGTAATAATCATGATGCCTGTTAGACCAGCTCCTGCCTAGAAACTTGGAAGAGAACATCAGAAATGATGGGGGGTCATGAGCTGCCATGAGGGAGGTGCATCTTGCGTAGCGGGGTGAGAATGCAGTGGTTGGCAGGAGTGAATCACCAGGCTGACTCTTAGCTCCCACCCTACTGATTCTGGGAGTGACTGCTGACTTTTGTTTGTCTAGATTTTAGCAGATCCATTTTGTACAATATGTAGTAACTGGCCAGCTTATCACATATGCTAAGTGCCACAAACATGTTATTTAATTACAGATATTTAAAAAAGAGGTCTCTGAAGGCATAAAAGAGTTTGTATCCTTACAAAGGTGAGCAATTTTCTGTTCAGTGTGTAAGCATCTACCAATTACAAGTATAGCATATGAAGTGTGTCATGGTTTATGTCAGTGGCCCCAAGGCCTCATGCATTTGCATTGTGCATTTGTGATTGGTTCATTGTCTAGCGCTTAGATTGATGGTGTCAGTGCCACACCCACATACGGGTGGAGCCAGGATGTAATGTAATGGTAGGAAGAAGGTTTGTCTTGCTCTTTTGCCGGTTTCTGCCTTGCTGTTTGCAGCGACCATGAACTGCAGCCCTGCCATGCCACTCTGCCTTGAAGCCAACTAAATATAAACTAAAACCTCCAAAAACTATAAGAAATAAACCAACTTGGTGCATCAGGTATTTTGTCTCAGTGATGAGTAAAAACTAAGACAAGATGTGACAGAAACATATAGTGATTGTTTAAATTTAAAAAATGTTGTTACAAGCCAGGTGTGGTGGTACATACCTGAAATCCCAGCACTCGGGAGGTTGAGGCAGGAGGATTATTACAAGTTCAAGACCAGCCTGGGCTACAAAATGGGCTCAAGGCCAGCCTGAACTGCATAATGAGACCCCGTCTCAAAAAAGACAAAAAATATTACTACAGTACATGACATATGGTCATTAGCTGCCCCCAAAAATCTCTCTCACCATTCTCCTTGTTTTTCTGAGGCAGTTTTCATTGTCCTTCAGAACTTTTTCAGTTGATTGCAGTGAAGAGATTTCTTGTACATCACTAGAATCTTTCGAAGTTTTCTGCACCATATCTAAAGTGAAGCCAGTAGTTGGGTGTAGGTGTGTGTCTAGTGGTTGTTTGTGTTTTGTCCTCAGAATAATTTACTGCTTTTAATCTGAGCTCTCTTCCTATATTTTCACATTTCTTCTGGTGACTATATGGACCAGAAAGAGAAAGAGAAAAAAATAACCAGAGGAAAGCCATAAAGTTCATTTTACTTATTTTTCCTTATTTTTCTCTTGTGAGAAACCAAATTGTAATACAGTCTCTCTGGAACCATGGCCTGCCATGGAGAAAGTAAATTAAAAAATTATTGTGCCCTCTGGGAGGACTGTGTTTACTTATTCCTGAATTCAGGTCATATTAGGGAACAGGCATTACTGGCACATCCAATTAAGGTAAGTGCTAGCACTTGCATGTGAAGCATCGTCCTGACAGTTCTAGCCCGCAGCAGCTCAGCGTCTCGGCCACAGTTAGCTCTTTCTAGTGACAGAAAATCTCACTTATTTCTTAACGAAGACTCAGTGGTAATGCAGAATTTGTTTATGGCTCTTTTGTGTCCTCATAAGAAAAGGCATTGATGGTAAACACTCTGAAAGTGATGTCCTGGTCAGAGTGTCTATGCCATGTGCGTGGTCTCTGCCATCACCCTTAGCCATCTCCGTGTCACGCTGTGATACTGATTACGCACTCAGATGTCAGGGGACAAGGTTGGTCAAATGTATCAAGGCAGCCAGGGAGTAAGTAGCAAGAAAGATACATGAAACACTATCCTTGTTCTATAACTCGGTTAACTCTAAAAGAGGAGGACAGTTAACCAGTGGGGAAAAGTTAAAATTTAAAAGTTGTCACTGCTGGGTCACCTGCAAAGCAAGGACATGAGCAATCAGAAACAGAGAGAGCAGTTTCTGTGCTGTACACAGCAGTTCCGGTCTGTGCCCTGTTAATTATCAGTCTGTAATGAGCAGAGAGAAAAAGAGGAGGACAAGCTATCAGATTTATAAAGATTTAACATTGCCAAGTGGTTTTTGGATTTTTATAAGACTATTGGTCCATGACAGGCGGGACATGGGAGAGGGCTGTCTCTCCACTGTTTGAGAAGTTCTGAGTTAGACAATGGTGAAATAGTCACTATTATATAGAAGGAGCCACTTGGCTAAGAAGGAATTGTATTAGTAACTGAATGCAAAGGAAAAGTTTTGCAAATGGCCCTTGTTGAAGGTCTTAGATCCTCCTTCACCCTAGAATCATCCTATGACCATAGCTTACTATTGTTGGGTCAGTTTTATTATTTGAGTGATTTTGAAGCTAAAGATAGAATCAAACAAAGTAAATGTAAAGTTGTGATATATCTTCTAACTTATTATAAAATTGGATTGAAGAGTGTCTTCGGAATATTTTTGCCCATATAGGTGGTTGTGTTCTCATTAGAAATGTGTTTAAAAATCTTTTTTTTTTTTCAATTTTGATATCTGTCCACCATGATCATTTTTATTATTAACAAAATACAGCAAAATTACATTTGTGATATGTGAGTTCAAATATTTTTAATCCTTTCTGCAAAATTTACATTTTTTTACCTAAAATCTGCATTTATGCATATGATGGTGATATAGGGGTAGTGCTGAACCAAGAGATATTGTACTGTAGAAAATACTTGGATATCTGAGTTTAAATCCTGGCTCTGGCACTTAAAATCTACAAAGTCGTCAAATATCTCTGAATATTATCTTAGTCTTCTGTGACTTGAAGGTAGAAGTTGCTCATTTTGCCAGATCATGGTGGTAGATAGAGGACAGCAACATTTATATCAGGCACATGGTGTGTTAAAGTCAGATGGTGACTTGGAAGTATAGAGAGCCAATCACAATAAAAGTTAAGTATATCTCCATTTCTACTTCCTACTAAATATCAGTCCCATAAAGTCTTCCACAAAGTGTTTATTGTAGTCCATTCAGGTATATATATCAATATACTATAAACAGAGTGGTTTATAAACAATGATAATTTATTCTTTACACGTTTGGAGCCTGAGATATCCAAGATTAAGGTACCAGGTGATTCAGTCTCTGCTGATTCATTTTCCAAAGGCCTCCACCTTCTGTAACCATCACTTTGGCAGTTCAGGTTTCAAACTGAGTCTTGGAGGTACAAAAACATTTAGAAAATTGCAATATTGATCTGGGATGAATGGTACTATTTCCATATTGTCCCTTAGGGAAGCAAATCAGCATTGACAAGTTCTTCAACTGTCCCTTACTTTCATGATGTCTGTAACATTTTTAGTTTTCCTTAGACTTCATTGATCAGTCTCTCTCAGGTTGATTATTTTCAACCTTTTTTTTAGCTTCCCTAACTGAAAGCCCGAATTCAGTATTTTTTCATTGTCTTATTGTTTTTTTATTTAAATTACTTTATCTGTTAATATTAAGAAGAAAAGGTAAAACAAATTTTCACAACAAAATAATGAAAAAATAACAATTATTGATAAATTACACATCATTATCTTTAGTCACTCAAGTACAAAATATGGGCATAAAAATTTCTTCAATCAGTATTAGCACAACCTTTCCTAGTCAGTGAACTAAGTGACACTAATGGTATAAGAAACTTGCATTTTTTTTCTTTTCCCTTCTATCCTTTCTCTTTTCCCCTATCTTAGTTTCTTCTTTTTATTGAACAGTTTCCTCCCATTTCACAGTGACTATTGTATATTTTGAACCTTATGGTTGCATATATGTCACTGTGGTATGATGTTTTTCAATTCTTCTGGGACGATACACAGAAGGGGAATACCTGGGTTGAATGGGACCTCTAATCCTAATTTTTAAAGGATTCTCCACACTGATTTCCACAGTGTTTGTACTAGTCTACTCTCTAACCAACAGTTGTAAAGGGTTTCTTTTTCCCTATAGATCCAGCAGCATTTTTTATTGGTTGATATTTTTTAAAAAAATTAAATAATTTTTTAATGAATAAGGGAGAGGATGAGATAAAAGGTGGCATAACAACATAACAATACAGTTTAAAGCATGACACTTTCAGCAACCTAGTGCTTCACCACCAAATAACCTGACTTAATAGTAGTTACCATAGTGTCTTTTTCTTTGAAATATTTGAATATAACTTCATATGCTATAGCATCAAACATATCAAGACTGTATAACACCATTCAAGTGGATGAAAGCATTGTAGAGTATTTAGTCCTATTTCATATAGTATTGGAAGTACTAGCCAGAGCAATTAGACAAGAGAGAAAAATAAAAGGGGTAAAGATAGGAAAAGAAGAAGTTAAATTGTCATTATTTGCAGATGACATGATACTCTACATAGAAGACCCCCTAAACTCCATTGAAAGACTCTTAGATATAATAAATAAATTCAGTAATGTAGCTGGGTACAAAATCAATACTCAGAAATCAATAGCATTCTTATACACTAACAACAAAATCACAGAGAGAGAAATAAGAGACGCCACACTCTTCACACTAGCAAGCAAAAAAATGAAA